TATATATATACACACACACACACACACACACACGGGTGCCACTAGCAGTTCTGGGCCCTATGAAAAGATCTGAGGTTGGGTTGCACTAATGACCCATGACCCATGACATCACGCTGATAAACTGGAGTATCCCTCTCCTCTTCGGCCTGGAGGACATGACCTCAACGATTTCCAAAAGAATTTCATATTCAGACTAATCAGACCAGTTTTCCACTTTTCCTCAGTCCATCTTAAATGAGCTTGAGTCCAGAGAAAGTGGTTTTCAAATCACGGCCATTCAATATTGGTTTTCATCCTTGTCCCTTGCTTACACAGATTTTTCTGGACTCCCTGAATCTTTTAATGATATTTTATACAGCAGGTGATGAAAATCCCAAATGCTTGCAATTTTCATTGAGAAGAGTTTTTCTTAAATTGTTGAACTATTTGTCAAACAGAGTGGTGACCCTCACCCCCCATCCTCACTTCTGAAGGATTCAGCCTCTCTGGGATGCTCTGTTTGTATTCTGTCATGATTCTGACCTGTTGGTTTGTTAGCATTACACAACTTCCCCAGTTTTTACTGCCCTTGGCCCAACTTTTTTGAGTGTGTTGCTGGTCCCAAAATCAGAATAAGCTTATGTAAACCAAAACATATTAATCTAAACATTACATATCTTTGCTATGTTATAAAATGAGTATGGGAGTTTTCAAAACATTTTGTTTTTATTTACAGCTTACACAGCATTCCAACTTTTTTGAAATTGGGGTTGAATTTAAATGAGCATTAACTCATCTTTTTTTGCTGATTTTCTGGAAATTTGCTTAAATTTTGCACTAAAATTGAAAGGAAATCTAGCTGCTGGTTTCTTTGTTGTTCAGGATATTTTAAATCCTGCTAATAAATCTCATAGTAAGGTTCCAGCAGATCACTGACTTTTGCCATTAAGCAAGTTGATTGATAAGTTTGGGGAATTAAGTTTCAGTTCCTATCACTGCTACAATCAACAGCAGTCAGTCTGGGGAAAAGAAGAAGCCAGCAACTGGGGTTACTCTTAAAAAACGTACGCCTCCTTGTAGTAGACGACAAAGCTGATGAGGTCTCTGTAATCGGGGGGCCGGTAGCGTTGCCAGGTCAGTTTTATTCTTGTACTGCTGGTGCTGTTGGACTTAAATTTCAGGACAGTGCTTTCACCTAGGTGGGCATCAGAGCAGAATTATAATGAAAGCACTTCAGTATGTTTCTCTTAAAATTTGCAGAAAATAGTCACGTTGAAGGAGTAATGCAGTAAACACTGACACATGGTGCAGTGCAACATCAAGCTTAGAGGAGGTGCATGCAAAATGCAAGTAAGCTACAGTAATTGCTGCACTTGTACTGGACATAATGTCAATTTTTGTGGTTTTCAGACTGAAGCTCATTTGACCCTTACAGCTGGCTCTGTCACCATTGTTTCGGAAATCGCTCTCATCAAAGTGACCTTGGATGCCCGTGTTGTCCCACATGTTGTGTATCTCAGACATGCAGAGCTTTGGGTTGGCTCTGAAGAACAGCTTTCCTTTTTTGATAGTGAGGTTGTGGTGCTTCCAGTCCCACAGGTACTGGAGCTGCTGGTTGTCCAAAGCAGAGAAGGCGTACAAGCTAGTGGGCAGAAGAAGAAGAAGAAGAAGGGATGAATAAATGATAATCAACAATGTGCTTCTATATTCACTGTTTCTGCTTACGTTTATTGTGTGTATAGTGATGCATGTCAAGCTGAAGCCCAGCTTTTCCTCAGTGACAATGCTTATTTGCAGTGCATAATGGAAAATGCACAATGAGGTTTTGAAAGAGGTGGAACTCCTATATACCCACTTGTCCTTTTCTATAAGCCTGAACCAAAAGGTAGCAGCAGCCTACTTCACTCTTCTCTGTGGGTCTCCATTTTCAGCTAGTGGTTTAATGACCCAGTTACACAGCAGAGGGGACAGTTTGACAAAGAGATAAAAATCACCTGGGAAACCAGATTAACCGGGGACTGGGTTTTTGAGGAGAGGAGGTTAGAAGAGTAACTGGATAACACCCAAATATTCAGGAATGACTGTAATGTGGTCCTTGGGACAGTAAGACTCCTGTGAAACGAAGGACATGCAGATGGAGACGGAAGTGAAGGTCTCTCCATGACCCTGGGAGAACTATTCCCTAGGCTTTTGGTAGTTATGCTGCATTCAAGGTCTTGCTCTTGGGGCTAAAACTGGGAAAGTATTTGTGTGTGTGTGTGTGTGTGTTCCTACTCCTCCAGAAGTTCTTCTCCATCGATGTATCTGAGGCTGCGGAGGAAGGTCAGCGAGGTCAGAGTGTGGGAGTGTCTGATCCGTACGTAACCCGTCACCCTCTGGATCAAACCTGTGAAACTCTCTAGCTCTGCCACCATGTTGTCTACACACACACACACACACACACACACACACACACACACACACACACACACACACACACACACACACACACACATTAAAATCTTAATTTTACCTGTCTATTTAGTCTATGTATGTATTTATGCACTTACTCGCAGCTTTTATTACCGACTTATGTCACTGTTGTGGTTGGACTGACCCGAAAGTCTTACTTTAATATTCCATGCTTTGTATAACTCGTGGAACTTTTGATATGTTTTACTGACAACAAATTCAATATGTCAGAAAAGAAATCACACTGGCCTAAATTTCCTTGTCTACCTACTCTCTTCTGTTCTCATTTTTCCTCATGAATTAACTTTTTGCTTGCCTGCCTATTCTTGACTATGGCTTTGAGTAACACCTGGACATTTTACAGTTCCCCGAGACTAATCCTGACATGACCTCTACAACACAAAAACAAATTAGCATCAAAGTGCTTTGAGCATTCAAGCCAAGTAGTGCTGTTGAGTAACATACTTATTGTGTTTTTAGCCTAAAACCAAAGTGGATACAATCGTTCTGAATCATAAAATGTTCTACAATGATGAAACTATGATTCTTACTCCAAAAAATAATTTGTGTTTTTATAGTACCATATATTTGAATTTCCCAAGACTGGAAAATCTGGAGCTAATGTCTTGCAGATCTACTACAGTAGTGTCATCAGCTCTAGTTTAACATTATATGAAGAATGTTGAAGTTAATGGGCACTCCTTTGTCCTCCAACTGACACTGGCAGCAGTAAAAATGGCATAGAAATGTTGGCATTAACAGCAGTCTCACTGTGGTAAACTGAGATACTTACGGCCTCTGCGGATATTGATGTGCAGGTTGCCTTTGATAACAGTGCAGCCTTTGAGAGACTGAGCAGCATTCATGGAGTCGATGACCTTCTCCTCACATACTTTATCACACAAACCATCACAGGCTTTACAGAACATACTGGAGGCAGAAAGATATGGAGAGAGACGGGAGACGGTAAACATGCAGTGTGTAATTTCACTGATGTATCTTCATTTGCTAAACTCTTGTGGTTCTCCTCTGACCTTCAGTTTTGTTATTTCTGTCCCCGGCGGATTTAATGCCAATGTTTTGCTCAGCAGCACATACGATAAATTGGAAACGGTACAGAGTAGATTAGCATGGCCCCTGCGAAAGGATGACACGCAAACTCATGAAGCGTTTCCACATTTTTTTGGGCGGCTATGGCTCAGGAGGTAGAGCAGGTCGTTTCCTAACTGGAAGATTAGCAGTTCGATTCCCAGCTTGCCCAGTCAACATGTTGACGTGTCCTTGAGTAAGACACTGTATTATTACAGGAGTAACACCAGTTGCTCCCGGTCATGACACCGGTGCGTGAATCCGTGAGTGCTTGGGAGTGCGAATGGGTGAATGGCCAAATAGTGTGAAAGCACTTTGAGTGTGCTGCAATGCATAGAAAAGTGCTATAAAAGTATGAGACCATTTACCAGTTCTACAGGCCCAGCTAAATGACGTATCCAAACACTTTCATGATATAAAACTAACTATGACTGTACCACTGTGCTCCCTGTTGCATCTTTTATATAATATTCTCATCTTCTCCCGATGAAACCTTAGAATGAACTAAGAGCAGGATGTGAAACTGGTTTCAATGCGATGCCAACAGCAAGACTACCACCACCATGTGGTCAGGGTAGACTGCAGCTCACCTGTTGGGTGCGGTGCGCGTATACCCAGATGGGCATTCGGGCATACACTCTCCACCGTGGATGATGAAGCTGTCAAACTCGGGGAGGTGGACTTTGGAGCAAAGCTCAGCACTGATGCAGCGCCAGCCCTCGAACTTGTAGGTGCCGGGAGGGCAATCAGCCACACAGCGCTCTTGGTGGTAGTAATGCACACATGCAGCACATGCTGTGTCACTGTCAGGGACTGTGCAGCTGCCCAGACACTGAGGGTGGCAGCACTCACCATCTGCTGTGCATGCTCGTCGTGCACACTTCTCTGGGCATTCTGGTGACAAGACAGACAGAAAAGCAAATCATTCATCAATTCAAACTGCAATAAAAATGCCATAAGTTTTTTTTTTAAGGTTTTCACATCTTCCCTATAATACAGTATAGTTGATATTAACAGACATCAGTACATACATCCCACTCTTTACTATATTACATACAGTAAGATTGTCAACTTTTCTTGCTTGTGATTTCAACTGGATTCCACGAGCAGAATAAAAATTGATCTTACATTTGTTATTTACATATTAGAGCTGCAAAGAACACATTTAATAGGCTGTATTAAATTTAGTAAAGCAGTTTTTCAGCTGATATATATTTTACACCAGAGCTTTTCATTAATGTTTCCCACAATGTTTAATGTCCTATGGTTTTGTCTAATAGCCCAGTCCATGTTTTCCAATGAGCACTGCTACCAACTCTTTCGGTTCTTGTAGCGTCCCTCTAAATATTAGGATATTCCAACTGATGACAGGAAAAATTGACCAAAGAGCTCCAGAAGGAGCCCAGTACTGGCCCACTGGCCGTTCTGTTTTGTGTTGTTGTTTGGTGATGGTGGGCTATATAAATAAGTTTGGCTTAAATGATGCTATGTCTTAAAAGCAGTTGCATGTGTTAGTATGTATCCTGTAAGGTATAAACAAAGGGGCATGGATATCTGAACAAAGAACAACTAGACACAAAAAATATACTAATTTGGGTTCTGTCATCCATTTATGTTAGCCAGGAGCTGTGTTTAAATAAAAACCAAAAAAGTGAGGTTATGGAAAAATGTGTTGTTTACAGGATGCTGAGTGATAAAACACTGCAACATGTTGCAACATGTTGCCTGTATCAGCTCTGTCAAACAAAGTGAAGACACCTGGCTAAAGGAAATGCGTACTGATACTCCACTTATTTATATTTCAGTGATTTATCCAGAATGCCTCTAGAATCAGCTTTATTCAGCAAACTTGTACTGGATTTATTACTGGGTTAACAATGGGTAAATTGATGCTGAAAGAGCTGGATGCTGACTGTAAGGCTCTTTGAAGAAAAGCTTCCAAAAACAGATGCCAAATTGGAAGTTGTTTTTTTAAGCCTGAAACAGCCATGATCCAGTACCTCTCTATCTTAGGGCAGAGACACACTAAGCTGACGTGAAAGAACTAGCAGTGCTTGAAGGCCAACTGCTGTCACCTCACGTCGGCTTTGTCTGGGCCAGCCGGGTAGAAAAAGTGACACTTGAACACACCACACAGATTACAGCCAACACCCCAACTATCATGTACGTTCTGTGTTTGTGTGAATGGAATAACTCCCCCTACCAGCAGGTGGCCAAATCTGTATTCGCCATTCAGAAAGGGACAGAAGAACCAGAATGCATAAGTATAAACAAAGCTATAAACAAAAACACCTCTTGTTCAAAACTGCTTGCTTCTGATCAAAATGTCTGAGAAGAATATGCAAATGGAACTGGCCGTCTCTGGTTGTGGAAGAAGAAAGGAGATAGAGGAAGTGAAAAGCAAGGAGAAACTGCACTAAATGGGTGAAGTCATGGTTACTACAATGATTGGCTGAAGGGGCATTCCCAAACCGTTCTCTTCTTATGCATTGATTCGCCAAGCTCAACAGCCACTCAGAGTAGTCTGTCTCATTGATGAGGCTTGACCACCAACGCCGATTCAATATGTTGAATTGGCTGAAAAGCCCGATAGGGACCGACTAGTGTTGACGGTGCGGGACACACTAGGAGAACAAACCCCAAAAAATACTCTCCAACAGCCCGACGTCAACTGTCAGCTTGGTGTGTGTCTGTCCTTACAGAACAAAGCTTGAAGAAGCACGCTTTTCAAGAATATGGTTGTAAAGAAAATGCATAACAGGTTTTTTTTTAAAACCATCAACAAAACAACACAACACAAGAAATGGCCATCAGTCCATTTTTTGTTTGAAAACAGGGGGTTAATGCTTTATTCATACAATTTATTGGCAACCCACATAAAATGAAAAGCAGTACCTTTGATATGTTTAATAATAGCACTGCAACTAACAATTTATTATTGATTAAACTGTTTATTACTATGATTAATGGTTGCATAAATATATTCAACAATACATACATAACAATAGCAGATTTTTTTTGTTTTGTTTTTTAAAGTGCATTAGCTACAGTTCCCAAATATTTAGGGCCTGAAATTAACACTGTCCTACTGTCTGGGGCAGGGTTTCCCAAAGTTTTCAGCCCGCGACCCACAAAATATTGTTGCAAAAGACCCGCGACCCACTCACCCCACATGCAACATGCTGCACACAGAACAATGCACAGAGGCGCAAGTTGATTGATCAAGCAGGTATAACAACAAACCGATCACTACCTAACAACCAAATGTTCATTTTAGTAATAAAGGGGTTTAATACAATATTAAAATGAATGTCAGTGTAAAAACAAATGTAACAAGTGCACACAATATGCAAGAGCAGGACAAAACATGAACATAATGAGATATGTGTGCATGCATGCATAATGCACAGCTTGCGCAAAAAGTCACCTAATGTGATGGATGGGCAATGTGCATGGAGCAAAGGTGGTCCATTCTGGGTTTGATTTTGGAGATGGCAACTCGGAGATCATCCTCCACGTCAAGTCGCGATCTATATTTATTCTTTATGTAAGTCAGTGCCGAGAAAGTCTTTTCACATAAATAGGTCGAACCAAATGGCATCAGTATATCCATAGCGGCCCTGGAAAGTTGCGGGTATTCCCTCTCGACTGAAATCCTAAACTTAGCCAGCGTCTTGGAATCAAATGTGGTCTTTAAAGTCCGATCAGAAGATAGTTCAATGAGCGTGTCCTCCATGTCAGACGGTAGGTGATTCACCCTGTCTACAGTGAACGGGGATCTTATCCAATCATATTGTTCTGTGGCCGTTTCCACAGGGAGGTACTTTGTAAAATGTTCCAGAAGTGCTTGAAGGTGAGTAGTGATAGACCTCCTAACAGTGTTTATGCTCAGTGTGTTGTCCTCCATGAATTCCCCCAGCTCAGAAAACATATCAATCTGTCCCATTTCAACGCGTTGTATCGAGCGCTCCAGTTTGCTTGTGAATGCCCGGATCTTATCATTCAGTGACATGATGCCTGCGTTTTCACCTTGCAACGATGTATTAAGTCCATTCAGTTTCTCGAAAATACTTGACAAATATGCCAGTCTTGTGAGCCAGTCAGGATCAGTGAAGTGCTCAGCGAGCCGGGATCCCTGTCCGATAAAAATTGTTTGCCGACATGGTGTTTATGGATTTGGCGGGCTTTATCGGAGGTAGACGGCATTTCTAGCGGCTGTGCTTCTCTTTCCTCCGCTATCATGTCTGTTGGCTTCTCCATCGGCTTCTCCGCCGGGTTGTCTCCCAGTTTCCCCGCCTGCTCCTCCGCTGGTCTCTCTCTATTGTCTTTTGTTGATAACAACCACCGTTTCATTCTAGTGGAAAAAAAAACTAACACCAACTACATTAGAAACAGTTGTAAGCTAGATGTAAAAAAGTAGCTGTCATGGTCGCTTGTCACTGTGGTGCTGTGAATAGATGCGTGATTGATGGTGTCGTTCATCTGTCATAATCACCTCCCGTCAGAGACATAGTATTTAGGCCTAATATTTCTACTGTTTTTTGTTATTTTAAATAAACATGTTTATGTCCACATTATGCAGTTTTATGAAAAAATATTACCAAAATATATGAAAGCAAATTTGCAGTTTCTCAGTGGAAATGCAGTCTAGTTTACATTATGATTGGGAATCATCCCGCGACCCCCACTTTGGGAACCACTGGTCTGGGGGACAATAAAAATAGCACTCAGGACACAAAGATTCAGGATCTGGGACCATTTTGGGACAATAAAGTAAACTGCCTTATAGAGCAAGCATTTTGGAGTGGCAAAATATGAAAAATGACCTGGGCTCTGAGTTCATGTAATATAAAAGTCCTGCACTTTTGGGTGACATGTAAATCCAAGAAGAAGAAATCTACTGTCATTAGAGTGTGACCATAAAATGATCTTCCAGCATGCCTCCTGACTGACACGGATCCCAATCAGCACCTTCAAATGGTGTGGTCCTGTCAACCATTCAGCAGGCTGTTTGTGCTCAGCAGGAGGCCATCAATGCAGCATTTCTCTAACACACAGTATTCTTTCTCAGCTCCCAGACTTTACTGCCCCATGACTCCATCTCGCCCTCTGACCTCTACGATGGGCTGACGGGAGCAGTGCCGGAAAGGTGTATTTTTGCAGTGTGATGATATACAGCCTTTAGCCAGCTGGGGGAGAGGAAGGACATAATAGCTACCTGAAGTTGGTCTCAGACTGGAGATGAGTGTCTGGAGCTTCTTAAACACTCACTCGATCAGCAGAGGGTGGACAGAGGTGAGCAGGTGGATGGGTACATAGTGTACAACAGCCGTCCACTGGATGGATGCTACATAACAGATCTCAGGTTATTATCCTTCGTGTTGCGGATGTCAGCCCTGCCCCGTTCCCACTACCACAGTGTCCTCCTTACTACACTTTAGAGACAGGTTGATGCAGAGCTGCAGCACGAAAGGAGGAGGCAGAAAAATATGGGCAGGAGGTAGAGGAAGAGAGTGGTAGGTGTAGAGGGTGGATCAGGATGAGAATGGACTGCAGAAGAGGACGATGGGGAAGAAGACATATAGGAGGAAGGGCGGAGAAAGAAGAGTTTAAAGATGAGGTAGTAGAGGAAGAGAACTAAAAACATTTAATAATTGTATACTCATGTAATTGAACCACACCTGAAATTATTTACTGCAGTTATTTGTTTGAGAATATTAAGAGAAGACATTTAGTAAGCCCATCAAAAGGATAAGAGATAAAACGCTGATGATTTTACCATGAAAAATGATTGTTTTAAGCAAATTAGATTTTTATCATTTATAAGTACTCTACAAGTACTCTACATGAGACTCTACATGAGTTATTTCCCAAGTCTTTTACTTAGTCTGAAA